TTAGAGGAATTCCTCTACAGAAACCTGTTTGTACAGTTGTTGATGGCAGACTAAAGCTCCTGTTCTAGGCATACTTTCTTTGAAGTATGTTTCACTGACATCAGGAAGCTGTACATTGGAATAAACATGACCAGTCATGGGCTGCTCATTGTTTATCTTCAAAATATCTTTAATCCAGATGCCTGCACTGAAATTGCTTGTGGACAGTAGCACTGTAGTTGCTTCTTTTTCCTAATGAAGTTTTTTTTTTAATTAACAATTGTACAGCAGACAGAAATTCAACAAATTCATTTTCCTGCTAAGAAATAGGAGTGTATCCTAATTGATTTTTTTTTTTTTTTTTGCCTGTGAAGGCCAAGAAGATAGAGTGTAGAAATTTATAGTGATCTAAGTTTTTGATGGCAAGATGCATCAGTTGCTTACAATGGTCCTTGCACAATTTTACTAACACCGTGATCTTGGATGTGTTTAGACTTGGTAAATCCTGAAAAACAACACAGTACTTCATGTGATCTTCCTTCTCCTTCAACTGTTGCATTTACTACGCCTTTTCTCCAGTCGCTGAATTTGCACACTCTAGTAGTTAGAGAGGCAAGATCACTTCATTAGGTGACCAGTGCAGCAGAAAGAAAACATATACAAAATCAGTTGGAGAAATTCCTTTTATTCCAATTTCACATGAAGCATAAAATCCCTTGTGTGTGCATGTGCGTGTGTGTTTGAGAACACTTTTCAATAGTATAAGAATGAATGCTGGGTAGAATCATAAAGTTGGAAGAGACCCCAAAGGCCACCCAGTCCAACCCCATTCTGCCATGCAGGAAGACCCAACCAAAGCATTCCTGACAGATGGCCATCCAGCCCCTGTATAAAACCTCCAGAGGAGGACACTCCAACACACTTTGAAGCAGCATCTTCCACTGTCAAAAAGCTCTTACTGTCAAGATGTTCTTCCTAATGTCTGGTGGATAAAGTAGGAATTTTGACTGTGATGCAAGTAGAAATTCTGACTGATGTGTCCTACTACTTCCCACTACTGTGCATGAACAACTCTAACAAATAATGAAGGAAGAGGGTACCTGAATATATCTTCCTGCAATAAAACCTCAGATGATCTGAGCTGAAAACACCACTTATCTGCTCAGCAGTACATTTATGGTATGCTTGTCACATAACATCCTGTAATTGGAGAGCTGAAGAGCAAAAGATTTTTGTCTTATCTATCTTATCTATCAGGCAGGGACCAAGGGCCACTGAGAGCAAGCTATGAGAGCAAGGGGGGAAAGCAGTCTTGCCCTTTGCACTGGCCAGAGAAGGAGCAGTTGCAAGGACTTTGCTTGTCTCCTACTATCACAAAGAACAGCTATAACACCTGATATCAAGATGGCTTCTTTTTACACTGACCAGAGAAAGACATGGTGCTCTGTTTTTTGCTTTTCTCTCCCCTTTCCCTTTCTTTCCCTTTTGTATTGTATCTATTTGTTTGGAAGTCTGCAACCACACCAGGAAAGGTCTTATCATTCAGTAACTTTACAGAATTTAGAGAGTCCTGGCAATTTCCAAGTGCTAATGGTGATATAGTAACAATAAATACACAAAATACATACTAGATTGTAACAGTGGGAAACTATTTAATATAGAGTTGGCTTATTATTGAGTCTAATGAGTTAAAACTAAATTCTGTGTTGAATTCTACCTATGATGTGTTTTGGTTGGTGAACACTAATGTAGTTTCTTAATAACCTGTTTTCTCCAGAGGTTTGAACAGACCTAGGGACCTTTCGAAAGTAATAGATTGCAGACACGACAGACCTGCATTTTAGAAGTAGGAATGAAGTAGATTCAGAAATATTAATCTCAGCTTGATTATAATTTTAATATTTTATATTTTCCATTTTAAAAATCGTGTTAGAGGTGATATTTCTCTTGCTTAGCATGTGAGTTGGGATAGTCTACAAATATTAGCTCTTGTTATTTAATGCAGTGACTTTAAGTCTTATGTCTTGTGAGGTTCATTCAAACCATTCTGTCCAAAGAAATGCCTTAAATGTGTGTTACTAATTTAACCTGAGTGGAAAGAAGTGAAAGCCACAAGATAGATTCTTTCAGATCCTATTAAAATGACAGTCTAACTATTGATGTTACAGTGACAGCTTTCTCAGGATCCAGAGGAAGTCTGCACCGATTATTTTTGTGTACCTAAACATTTTCTGACACCCACAGTTGCTCAGATCAGCTATTTAAACCCAAAGGCCTAGGAATGGCCATGGCATGTCCAAGACATATTGGCCAATAGAACAGTAACCTTGAAGTTCTGTTTCAATGTTGTATGCAAAATTCACTCCTTTCTTCAACTCTGTACATTTTCACAGTGAATGCCGAAAGTTTAGGCTTGTAGGCCAAATACCAGTGAGAGAATCAACCTAGCAGGTCTAGAAGCAGCCAAGAAATTTCTGAGCAGGTTTCTGTACCCAGTTTTCATCATGATCCAATGAATTTCTCTTTAAGGTCAGATTGTGTCCATGGTCTTTAGAATACTCACTGTTGACTGGCATAGGCCATGCAGGCCAGTTTGGGATTACTACAAAAGTAGGTTGGAGCCAAATTGTTTTACCTACAGTGAAAATATAATCTTCACACACTATTCTGAAATGTGTGAAGAGGCTTTGATAAATTAATCTGTTGCAGCAGATAGAGAGGTGACAATGGTATCAGAAGTGGAATAACAGTTGTTGTTAACTGCCTTTGAGTTGACCCCCAACTCATAGCAACTCTTGGAGATGAGACATCTCCAAGATCCCCTATCCTCCACTGCTCTGCTTAGGTTCTGTAAATTCATACCAATGACCTCCCTGATTGAGTTTAACCATCTGGGGTGTGGTCTTCCTCTCTTTCTTCATCCCTCTACCTTTCCTAGCATTATTGTCTTTTCCAGTGAGTCATGCCTTCTCATGATGTGGCCAAAGTATGACAGCCTCAGCTTGATCATCTTGGCTTCCAGGGAGATTTCAGGCTTCCTCTGTTCAAGGATCCATTGATTTGTCTTTTAGGGCCATCCACATTATCCTCAGCACTCTTCTATAGCACCACATCTCAAATGATTGATTTGTCTAACTTTAGTGCTCAGTTGTATATCTTTACTCTTCAGGATCTTGTGTAGCTCTTTCATAGCTGTCCTTCCCATTCCTAGTCTTCTTCTGATTTCTTGACTGCACTTTCTTTCCTGATAAATATTTGATCCAAGGAATAACAGTTCCTGAAGAAAAGAAATGGGGATTGGGGAGGAATCTTTCCATGAAAGGAAAAATATCTTATTCATATTCTTGGTCCTTGCAGTATTAGGTTCCCCTCCTCCAAACTTTCCCATACAAGGACAACATGGAAGATTCTCTCCCTTTCATTTTGTGTGCATGAACATGGTATAGCACAGATACGTCAAGCCCAGCTATCTAGCTGTCTACCAGCTGTCTTGGCCTTCCTGGATTCTTTCTACAAGACCCTGATATAGCAATTTAGGGTTAGTCTATGATGGCACAGTTAGACATGCAGTTACCCCAGAGGAAATAAGCTCCCTGTCTGATGAAATTAACATTAGCAACATAATTCCATCTCTTTGCAGAATGATTGATGAAATGAGGAGCTCTGGTGTTTTAAAAGGTTGTGCTTGGCCTTCAGCTAATTGTCGCTATGAAAAGCATTAAAGGCCCCCAAGAAGGGAGATGGGGGTTGGGAATTCCTTTAAATATCTGCAGCCACAAAGTCCTTTGGGGTTGAAGATGAAAGATGCATAGCTGCTTGGCAGCCACTGAAGCATAAGAGCTCGTGAAAGGTCTTTGGTGGAGGGTGTGAGTGAGTGTGAAAAGGAGAGAAAGTGTGTCTATGTGACAAAGGCAGGGAGAGAAAGCATCTGGATCTAGGTAGAACAGACCTTTCTTTGGAACTAGAGCCGATTGAAACTGGAATGTTAACAGCTGAAATTATTAAGTAGTAGATTTGAAACAAATACAGTATATTTTTCCATACTTGCAGCTACAGCTGTTAGAGCTATCTTTCCTTGCCACTAAGGGCCAATGAAGCTAAAGGATAGCATTTGAAACTAATAAGCAGTAGGCTGAAAAAATTCAATGTATTTTTTCGTATAGCCATTCCAACTGTTAGATCTATCTTCCGCTAGAAATAGAAAGTTCATAGAACAGACAAAATTGAGAAAGATGCTTAGGAAAACCACTCCAATGCATCCACACCAAGAAAAGGGAGACAAAGTTCAGGGAATACAACTCTGGTAAAACTTCTTGAAATACTGTACTTGCTCACAGTCAATTATGTGATTTTGGATGATGGTACAGTATTCTGTTTGAAGTAATGTTCTGTGATGCAAAATATCAGTCTTTTGGGTTTGATCTGTGGCAACTTGTTTCACATGTATATGCCATCACTTCATATTGCAGAGATCAAGTACTGAACATGATTCTTTGTGTTTTCATATCACATACTTATCTCACAAGTTTAACAGTTTCTCAGCAATTCCAGGAGGAGGAAAGATATAGGGCCATGGATTACAAAAACGGAATTAAAGAGGCAAAATCTTCCTATATCAAAGGAGGGAGGAAAGTGTTAAGCGTGGTATGGACTGCTGTAAGAAAGAGGTGCATAGTTTCAGTATGACTCTTAGCTTTACACATATTCCTTCCTGTTCTGTTAACATAATTATAAAATTTCAAATCCTTTACTGATGCACAAGATAAACTTCCAAGAGTTTATTGCTTCCCCTTCCTTTTAAGCTTCTTTTTCTCCTAACAATGTTATTAAAGAGGTGGGTAATCTTGAATGAATTTTTGAGTAACCCGAGACAGTTGAGAATAATGGGAACATATATTCTTCATGACAATGTTGTTGTTGTGTGTCTTCAAGTCATTTCCAACTTATGGAAACCTTGAGGCAAGCCTATTATGAGGTTCTCTGGGGCTGAGAGAGTGTGGCTTGTCCAAGATCACCCAGTGGGGTTTCATGGCTGAATCGAATCCTGATCTCCAGAGTTGTAGTCCAATGCTTAAACCACTATGCTATGAATCCCTGCCTTTTATACTTGTGGAATTTTCTGCAATGATACTAGTCCGTGTTTTATAGCATGCACCTTGTTATACCCAGTGAGAATTTAGAATAGAGTGGGTAATGTGGAGAGAGTTACAATCAGAAGACATTAACTTCATGTCATGTTTGTCTAGTAGATGAAGGAAATAGTAAAGAGTGCATATACAATGAAAGCAATGCTAAAAGGTTCTAGAATTTGCTATTAAAGCCTGTCACCTCGGGTTGCCTTTACTGGCACTTCTGCACAGCCCCACATTTTTGAGTGGCAGGCAGAGAAGCTAAAAAATGAACATTAAGGAGTCTAATTCAATTCAGTCGATTAAGACCAGATGACTGCCAGAGGAAATAATCTGGGAGGAAATCTGTCTGTGATGGAATCTTATGTTTCAGTGTAACTGAGCCTGTGAAATACCTTGAATATTTCTTGTGATGATAACTGAGTGGTGATTGCTTTTGAGCAGAGGAATGTGAGACAAGGTGTAACAATTTATTGGGTTAACTTTGTTCATGTTTGAGTAAGGCAAAGTTTCATAGAATCAGAGAATCATAGAGTTGGAAGAGACCACAAGGACCATCCAGCCCAACTCCTGTGATGCGGGAATACAGAAGCAAAGCACCGCTGACAGATGTCCATCCAGCCTCTGTTTACAAGCCTCCAAAGAAGGAGACTCCACCACATTCAGAGGCAATGTCTTTCACTTTCAAACAACTCTTACTGTCAAGAAGTTCTTCCTAATTCAAGTTCTTCCTCGTTTGAATCCATTGCTCTATTTCCTAGTCTCTGGAGCAGCTTGTTCCATCTTCAAGATGACATCCTTGCAAATATTTAAACATGGTTCTCATGTCACCTCTTCACCTTCTCTTCTCCAGGCTAAACATACCCAGGTTCCTAAGTCTCTCCTCATAGGGATTCATGGTTTCCAGATCCTTCACCATTTTGGTTGCCTTCCTCTGTACACACTCCAGCTTCTCAACATCTTCTTTGAATTGTGGTACCCAGAACCGGACACAATATTCCAGGTGAGGTCTGACCAAAGCAGAATTAAGTGGTACTATTACTTCTCTTGATCTAGATACTACACTCCTATTACCTTCATTTGTTTCTGCTAGTAGTATTGTGTCATGCACATATCTGAGGTTGTTAGTGTTCCTTCCTCCTATCTTCATTCCTCCTGTGTCTTGAATCCGAGGCTGCTTTGTGTATGATATGTTCTGCATATCGATTGAATAAATAGGATGATAGTATGCAGGCTTTTCTGACCCCTTTGCCAATAGGGAACCATTATGTTTCTCTGTATTCTGTTCTGATGGCAGCTCTTGTCCTGAGTATTACAAATCAGGACAATCAGATGTTGTAGCATTTCCATTCTCTAAGCACAAACCATAACTTTTCATGATCTATGCAGTCATAGGCTTTGCTGTGTATACAAAATTTTAAACTATGTCATTAGAACCTCTGGAACAGCATTTAAGCTTTTTGAACTAACCCATTTTAACAATTTACACCTGGAAAATGGACATACAAACAGTATATTCAGACCTGCTGATACTGAATCTTGCAATTGAGTTGAATCTTACATTGTTATGTTATTTTGTTTTTTTTTTTGTTATTTTTGTTTTTCCATAACTGTATTCAAACTATTTATTTCTCTGCTATTTAGTAAATGTTGCTTAGATAAAAGTTAGTTTTTTAAAAAAAACATGAAAATATTAAATGGTGATTAGTGAACCACAGATGCTGGTTCTCTGTTGTGTCACTACACAAATATGTGGGTAATATTTTAACAGAAACAAGCCATCAGAACTACTTTTGCAACTCTGTTTGTCTTTGTTTTTCTTGTTCCGGGAAGCCTTTAAACCAAATACTTGCAAGGTCTCCTTTTGACACGTCTCTGCATTGGAGTAAAAATTTCTGGGCTTTGTTCAATTTGGTTGTTAACTTTTTTTGGTCATGCATTCCCCAACAAATTAAACAGCTGTTAGCCTGCTGGTGTAGAATTAGATACTTGTGAAAAGGCATACCCATCCTGGTCTTTCAACTTTTTGAATATGGGAAAGTCCCTGATAAACCACAATAGCCCACAGCAACTCACAATAGTCCACAGCAAATTTATTTACAAGTAATATCTGAAATGGTTTCTAAAGGCTTAGCCATGCCTGTCTGTTTCATTATAGCAAGGAATGACAGGGGAATCCAGTAGTGCCTTTATGTTTGTTGTTGTGTACCTTCATTTCCTACTTGTGACTATCCTAAGGATATTCTTGGTCAAATTTGTTCAGAGGGAGTTTGTGTTTCCCTTCCTCTGAGGATGCCTAAGGTCACCCAATGGGTTTCTATGGCTGAGTGAGAATTTGAACCCAGGTCTCCATAGTCATGGTCCAAACTCTAAAACCACTACACCATGCTGGCTCTTATACCTTTAAGACTAACTGATATATTTTGGCATGAGCTTTTATGTATTTAAACCATTTCTTTAAATGCATTGATGGGGCTACAGTATTCAAGCCATAGGTTTCTTTGAAGCATAGTTTGGCACAGTGGTTTGACAGTCAGACTATGACTCTGGAGACAAGGGTTTGATTCCCAGCTTGGCCTTGGAACTCACTGGGTGACCTTGGGCAAGTCACACACTCTCAGCTTCAGGGGAAGGTGATGGCAAACCTCCTTTGAACAAATCTTACCAAGAAAAGCCATGATAGATTCACCTTAGGGTTGCCATAAGTCAGAAGTGACTTGAAGGCACACAAAGCAAAGAAGGAAAGGCAGTTGAGGGGAGAGAAGGCAGCAAGTTGCAGATTCTTTAAGACTAGTTGATATTCTTCTTCATAGGCTTTCCTGGACATGTGGCTGCTCCAATGACAGAGGCAAAAATGCTGGCAGAAAGGGCATAGACCCCATCCTTTGGCTCTTGCATTACAGTAGTTCCTACCCTATCAAATAGCAATTTCATGCAGTTGATTAGAAAATATTAATTATCAATGATCTCCATATAATGTCTAGGTATGGAACCTCCTTGAGCAAACATTAAAACTGCTAACTTCTTCCCTTGGTAATTTAATGGTCTTCTGGCAGTATGTCTTGTTGCCCATGGCCTCTGCATAAGTATTAAGAGCCAAAAAGTTAAAGAGGAAAGCGGGGCTATATGTGCCTTTAGAGCTGGGACAAAGCTTGCCATAGCATTGATTCTTAGCCAATAGAGAATTTAGGGCTGGGGATACATTATTGCTCACCAAGAATATACAGTACAGTTAAGTCCTGGGGCAGGAAAATAATGCCATAACAAACTGGAATATAATAGGGTTGAATAAAGAGTTCAGATAACATTTTGGAGAATTTGATGAAAGAAGCAGAATTGAGAATATTTTGTAGAGAGCAGAGAAGAGCGGTGCTGCTGAGTTTTGGCTCTAGGCAGTGACATAAATATCCCTTATTCTACATAAAGAGATAAGTGCTGGTGTGTGGAAGACAGATTAGTTTAAAGCACTGCTTTCCTGATGGCAGCTGAAGGCAAAAGAGCTCCCTTAATGAGGCACTTGAATTCTCTCATGTTGTAACCTGGAGAGCATTGATAAAGGAGAGAAAAGCACTTGCAGAAATGTTATCTTGAAATATCTTAAACTGTGTCCACACCCAGTTCTTTAAAGTTCCCCTCCCAGTGCCTTGAATAAATTTCACATTGTCCGAAACAGGCCTTTAAACTTCAACAGTCTCCTTGTTTATTCAAGTCTGAATCCGGTTATTAGTCCCAATGAGAATAGACCCATTAAATCAATGGAAGTTTTATAATGTCGATGAACCCAGTTACCATTGATCCGGTGTATCTACTCTTGTAGGGACAGAAGAGTAAGATCTAGGTCTAATGTCAGGCAAGAGAAAAGTGAAGGAGTAGCAGCAGCAATGTGATTTCTTATTTGTATTACTTATGGCTTCTTTGCATTATTTGTTAATGAATTTATAACAGTCAGTAGTGCATCTTGGGGCAATGTATATTGCAGAGTAAAAGAAAGTAACAGGTGGAATGATCTTTCTCTGATTCTTTAGAATTATTTGAAGATTTACTTAGTGATGCTGAGCATCCCAAATGCTTTTCACTTACTATTAGCTATCTTGTTCCCTACCTCCCTTATTCATTCCACACGGTGTGATTGTCCATTTGTATGTGTGTACATGTTGTGTTAATGTCTTTTTTTCTGTAGGTATATAAACATGTTTGAATGAATTATGTGTTAAGGAACTAACTAGTTCCACTCCGATACATATTGGGTATGTTGAGGATTTACTAAAATCCAATAAAAAACCTTTTAAAAGGAAATCCTTAGGTGCTCTTGTTCTCTCCTCATGATAGCTTAGGAAATGGCCACTTTTCTTCCTTTCTAAGGACAGAATTTGTGAGTTAAGGATTCTCTGCATGCTATTTTCAGAAACCAGGCATGCTTTATTTCTGGAGTGTAATGGGTTGGTATCTTTTATGAAGCTGCTTTCCAGGATCCCTGTGGGAAGGGGATGGCAGTGGAAGGATCCTTCCCTCCTCCCTGCATATGGAAATATTCATGAGGCTGTGGAGACTGCCAGGTGGGAATGAAAGCATCCCATCAATAAGTAAAGAGCATCAGTATCTTCTGACATTAGTGAGAAGGAACCGACATTGCTTTGCTTTTACTTCCTCCTATTTTAGAACAGCCTGGTTGTAATATTCAGCTCTGACATGCCCAGAAACTTTGTGAAGATTTTTTTTTTTTGCAGAAAATGAAAAAAAAAATCTTCATCACTCTGTACTGCACTGAAGGAAAATATTATGCTTATTGGGTTGGGATGTGGAGGAATGCATGCTGAGCTGTCTGAACATACTCTCCATGTGAGGTAGGGTATCTTGGACTTTTCCCCTAGTACTGCTCAATTTTATGTAATAAATTCAGATTTGTTGCTGACTACCTGTTATGGCTCTTCTCAACAGTGCACTTCTATTGCAGGCAATGCTTCA